AAATGATGGACTAGTGGGAGGGCAGCTAATGAACATCTCCCACCGACAACTGTTGGACCATTGTAATTAAAAGAGTGGGATTTGACCACCAACCTTATAACACACGATCACAAACTGCGGTGCACATTTTTGTGTTTTTAACGTATCATTAACTGAAGATTGGGTGGGGAAAAAAAGGAGGAGGCTAGGAAGCCGACGATGATTCTATTGCCCATAGCTTTTTAAAATTTTAATTGTTCACACAATAAACTACAAGCTTTTGACTTAGTGAAAAACTACATACAGATTTACAATAAAAATGGATACAACGTTAAAAGCATTACACAATAAATAGTTATTACAACAGGGACTTGTCCTAAAAATGCTACACATGTTTCGGTGTTCTATGACACCATCTTTAAAGAACACCTAAACATGTGTAGTTTGTTTTTTAGGGCAAGTCCCTGTTTTAATAACTATTGATTGTGTAATGATTTTAACGTTTTATCCATTTTAATTGTAAACATAGATGCTTTACACAAGTGTCGTTTTCAATTATTTAACACTCAGTGTATCGTGAAATACAATATGAATGTCCGTTTCACCTCACAGTCTCACCTTCACTCTCAGGACTTATGAATGTCATCTCCTGGCTGCCAACCCACTTCCTAAAAACAGCAACACTATATTAGGTTAGCTAGAGTATGAACAGTTTGTGTTATTGATTGGCACCCTCTACCCAAACTCAAAAAGGGTAGCGCCAATTAACTCACTGTAAAAAACAACTTTAATTATCTTCGGAGTCTGCATAATTGCTTTGGTCTCTAGGCAACCCAGCAGATGTTCGGCTTCCTAACTAGTTACAGGTTCGAAAATCAGCTGGATACAAATAACCTTAATAAAAACTAGGTTTGTCATGTTTATCTTATCACGCGACCATCGTAATACTGTTTACTATGGCCCTGTACACAAATCTCTTACACCCATAGGGAAAATACACATTATATTCTTAAAGTTAAACAAACACATTTCTAATGTCAATTGTACATATTTCAGGAAAGAAAATACCCTGATGACACAGTATACCAAAAACTGATATATATATATGTCTGCTAATGGCATGCAGTTTGAATAAATAAATTAATTAAGAATAAATTGTGTATTTTTCCCTATGGGTCCAGACTTCTGGGACACTCTGTACATGTAAAGTTTGTTTGTTTGTAATTAAGCACAAAGCTACACAACGGGCCATCTGTGCTCTACCCACCACAGGTATCGAAACCCGGATTCTAGCGTTGTAAGTCCGCAGACATACAGCTGTGTCACTGGGGGGGGGGGCTACATGTAAAGACAGTGATTAATTTGTTTGTTTTTAATTATGCACAAAACTACAAAGGCTATCTGTGCTCTGCCCACCACGGGTATCGAAACCCGGTTTCTAGCGTTGTAAGTCCGCAGACATACCGCTGTGCCACTGGGGGGCACAGTGATTAATACAATATTTTAACAGTATACGACTTGGATAAAGAGAAAAATATAAATCTTGGCACTGAAAATCAAAGCTTTCCTCTGTCTGTTACTAAATTATTCACGTGTGTTTTAAGGCCTCCATAGCATCCCAACTTGCTCTGGGAGAAGAACGACACACATGCACGCACACACAACGATCTTGTATCGTGTCCAGTTCTCACCGGTTACACGTTTCATAAAAAAAATTATCCTTATTTAATCAACTTCATTCATCAGTTTGGTT